ACCTGCACCCGGAACAATGTACCTCTCATGAGAGGCCCTTATTTGTTGAATGTACAGCACCACAGGAGTGGTAGGGGGGCAAGTTCCAGTGGGGCATTGCGCCTTCAGAGTTTGATTCGGCGTTCAGTACTTGTATAGCATGCAAGCCAGGCAAAATGCGTGCTTCCGCATGGGGAGGAGGGTGCTCATTTGAACATAGGAATCCCTGCTTGCAGATGCTGGAGACCACCAAGCTGTTCAGAGCAAAGGCGGAGACCCTCGGACACACGGCTGCACTTGACCAGCAGCAACAACAGCAGCAAAAAACAGCGTACTGTAGTTGCAGCAGTACAAGCTGCAGCAACAATCGCAGCGACGTTGATCTTGACGGCATTGCCATTGCCCAGCTTCACATGGACCTCAGAACACCAGTGGAGACCCATGGAGAATGAGTAAAGTAGGCTCTACGCAAGATTGTAGCCACTACGGCCTCCAAGCCTGTGGCTTCCTGACCTGCCCGCTCCTTGCGACCACGATGCAAGTCAAACGTCTCCAAACCCAAATCAAGTACACTCCCTCCCTCAGCAGTTCAAGAGAGTCATCTCGGAAAGGAGAGGGTGTAAGGTACCTAATGCAGGGTTCAGAGAGTAGCAGCCAAGGCAACTTCGCTACCTGGAGCTGCAGGCTCGGGAGCAAAGTCGGGACATGTAGGTTTTGGGGTTCAGGCGGCGTAAAGTTCAGGGCTCAGACAAGACAGGGTTCAGATAAGACGGGTCGGTTTTCTCTAAGGGCACTGGCACTTCTCCTCCTCCTCCTCCACGAGTAGGAATCCCCCCCAACCCCAAACCCTACGAACAAAGTATAATTATACTCCAAATTATAAGAATATGATAATGATAATGTATAAACAGCATCGTTGTGGTTGAGAAAAAAAGCCTTGGCCCCACCTGTGTCCGCCATCGACCATGCCACATTGTGCGGGTTTAGATCCTTGTGCATGCTTTTTGGCGCGCAGGTGTTCCCTGACGGCGATGACTCGAAGGAGTCAGGCTTCGCAAGGGGTCCGAAGGAGACCAGAAACAGCAACCCCAAGCCTTGCTAATTGGTCGGACTGCTAGGTAGTTTGTGGACTGAGACCGCAGCTAAACAGTAACTGAGCCTAGGTGAATGTTTTAGATCATGTGGGCATCGTATTCGAAGGTCTGGTGATGATAAGGTTTCGGTTTCAGCGCCACATAGGACTCATAAGGTTTTATAGGGCTTAGATATCATGCTTCATAGGCTTATAGGTCGCAGGGTTCGGGATACAGGGTTTGCGTCAGAACCACCGTCCCAACATCTCATGTTATGGGCTGCACACAAAGCACCATCAGAGTACCTGAACCTCAAAACTCACACGTGAGTCTTGATCCTGAGCCCTGACGGTCCGAAGCTTCTACTCTAAAGTCCCGAAAATGCCGAACGTGCAGTTGGGAATGCACACATGTCCTTGACACGGCTACGAACCCCAAATGATTCTCTCGGACACTGAACAGGCCTCACACCCTCAAGCCAACATGCACAACCAGGCACTTTCTTGAAAGGCCCCTCCTTATAGTCCTTATAGCGCCTACGAGCTCTACAAGAGGGCGAACTTGACGACCCCAGAGGTGCCTTCAGCTCAGGGCCGTTGCTCTTGGGGGGGCTTGTCCAGTTCCCTTTCGCGGAGGTGGGGGGGCCCTGCAACCCCAAAACCCTGAAGCGGCCACGGCTTGCATGGCTTGTAGGGTTCAACAGTTCTACGGCTTCGAGCTCATACTAGATTGATCTGCACCGAGAGGCTTTTTCGGGAGGGGGTGAGCGAGGTGTGTCTTTGGCTTCGGGTTGTGAGGCTTGTGCAGTGTAGGGCTTTAGGCTTAAGATCGACCATGATTGGGATGTTTGGGTATTTGTTGGTTTTCATAAACCCCATATTCCGCCCCAATCGTAGTTCAGCCCTAAACCCTCGATCCTCATCACCCAACCCCAAAACCTGAAGCCCCATACTCCCGACGCTAAGTCCATCCCAAGCCCCCATGAGCCTTATGAACCGAAGCCTGACACCTGCATCTACACACCACTCAAAACCCTAAACCCTAACTCCCAAACCCTGTACTATGTAAGCCCTCAACCCCTAGTCCCTACACCCTGCTCAACTACACCTCCCCGAAAATCCCTAAGCCCTACTCAACTAACTGTACTGGTATCTCCTTAAGCCCTACTCAACTATCTGTATCTCCTGAATCCTGAAATCCCCGAATCCCTACGGCAGGCTGATGCCCTCGTCTCCTGGCGGAACTCGGTGCGCTGCAGCCGTGGCGAGGCGCAGCAACCCTGAGCCATGTAGACATGGCTCAGTGATTCTGGGGGCTTGAGGGGTGGCTGTTAAGGAATCAGGCCATCGAACCTGGACTTGAGCCTACACTCCACACCCGTACCGTTAAAAATGTTCGCAAATGTGTCCGATTCGCTCATATTGGAGACAATATGTTTGACAATGAGTCGCTCCAACACATTGCCAGCATAGAACTCTTGCACGGTGAGTAAGTAATCATTGTTTAATGGTTTGTCAGATGCTTTCGATTCAGTTCCTTCGTTCAACTTGTTGTAAACACACACGTGATATCATGTGATGTCAATGTGTTGCTTGTATTTGCCCACAGCGTGGCTATCTCGAATGCGTTGTCAACCCTATAGACGCCTACACCCTGAATCCTAAACCCCAAACCCTAATCCAAACCTGAAGCCCAAGAGTTGTTCACGCATCCTCGACATGTCGAGTCCCCGCAAACGGGCCGAACACAAATCGTCACAGCACCCAGAGGCAGCAAGTACAGTACTGCAAGGAACGCCGTTCAGGGTAGTTCAGCAGTTCAGGGTTTAAGGGTTTTTTGTGCTTATAGGGGTTCAAAGTCCCAACCTCCAAACCCGTTTGGCCCCTTGAAGTGTCACCCAGCGACGAAGCGACCAGGCTGAGTTCCACCTGCTGCTGGAGCTCCGGCGGTGTAGGTCCGCAGGATATGAAGTACATGTGAAGTACATGCTCGGCTTGGTATTTCAAGGTGTGGCGAAGTCTTTTCTGATTCGTCCCCTAAGCCCTACAAGACTGTGCTACGGAACAGGTTGCCATGCTGGTTGCCGATCCTCAGGAGGTTTCTGGTGCCAGAAAGGTCCATCATGATTTCAGGTGCCAAGAAGCAAGGCCTGGGTTTTTAAGGCACAGAGACTGCTGGGCTGAAGTGTCCATGACAGGTTGTCCGGTCTCCTCCGCGACGTTGTCGCAGAGCCCATGTGGCGGGCGCGGATCTCGGTTCTGGGGAGTGTGGGTTGCAGGGTAGGTTCAGGGCTAACTATATAGACCTTGAGGGCGTGTGTCGGCCTTGGGTAGTGGATGGGGATGGGGGGTTGGTGTCCAGCTGGACCTTACTCCGTCCGAATGCCTACCCACTTGTCCAGGGAGTCAGAAAGCCTGCTAGACCATGGGACCTCTTCTAACTTCTACTAATTGGTATCATGATCGCTCTGTGTCAAAGAGATTGTGGCTCTACATGTTGTTGGGAGGTCGCTAGAGCGTTTTAGTCTTCCCAGATCCCCCACTAAGTTGGACAGCTGGCGCCAGGTCCACAACCAGGCAGGCTGCGACGTCCTCTTCGGGCTGGCTGCAGGCAGCCCCTCATAGTGGCCGGCCCCCTGAATTAACAGGCTTTCATAGCGAGATAAGCGGTCGTTATGGGGTTGTGGGTCCCGAAAGTTTCCTCGCGAAAGAATTTTCTACATGGTGAACATCCGAAGCTGTTAGCGCCCCATCGTTTCCGGATTTGAGGGTTCTTAGGGCTCAGTGTATCAGGAGTGGTGTTGCGACTTGGTGGCTCCAGCATCGTGCGCAGCTTACGGTCAGAGAGGCACCGGCACCGACGAGGCGCCACGAGGTCTCCCGGCCGGGCTCCTGGAGTTCTGCGGGCTCCGAGAAAGGAATGCTTCAGGATCGACTTCGGGATCGACGCCTTGTGGGTTTCCGATTGTGATGCGCAGAGATTCAGATGTAGCTTGGGGGCCTGGGCTTCAGGGTGGTTCAGGCTCTGGGGGATGAGCCACTAGCATGACAAGATGATGGGCAGAAGCCCGAAGTCCTTCCCGCCTGGCGTAACGACTTGGAGGGGGGGGGGGGGCAGGGGCAAATAAATATGGCATGATCCCCTTTACAACGTACCCCGCAAAATTGTATCCAAGATTCTTGGGAGAACCCCCACCAAACTAGGGGGCTCCCAGCTCAAGGTGTCGCTGCACCGGGCTCCCCCAGGAGAAAGCTGGACGGGCGCGCTGGGCCGGGCTCTCAGGGCCTCCCTGGCAACCCCCCTTGCTAACCTTGCCTGAACAAAACAGCAGTCAGGGTTTAGGGTAATTAGCGGAGGTGAACTCGCAATGTGCAATTGTCGATATACATCTGGTTGAAGAGCAGGTTTAGTTGGAGTTGGGGCATAACAGGCTTTCAGCAGACAGCGGCGCCATGTACGCACAGCAAGAAGGCCTCAGCTGCATTTGCAGGCCATAAGAAGCCGCGGAATTTTTAACATGCCAGAAATTTGCCCAGAGGGGTCAAAAGTTTGTGGACAGTTCAGATGAGTCACTGTTAGTGATACCAGGCGCCCTCCAGCACGATCCCTCGTTCCCCTTGGTCGTCAGCTTCGGCGCCACTGCCTCAGCTTGCCCGATCCTTCAAGCCGAAACACCCGAAGCAGACGTCGGCCTTCCAGACGGGCTGCTGAGGGTGAGCAGCTTTGAGCTATGCAGCTCTTCCTCCGAGTTTTTCTCCGCACCCATGAGGCTGAGAAGGACGGATCCACGTCCTGGACAGAGGCGGCATTGGGTTGAAACGTGTGCGCCTTCTGTCAGTCTACGACACGTTGGACTGCTTGTGAGCAGCTTGTGAGTCTTGAGTGATCGCAGCCCTTCTTGCCTAAAAGCACTGCGCGCCACACCGTGCCACTCTCTTGTATTGCAGAATGGCATGCCCAGCCTTGGCCGCGATGTTGGTTGCCGCCTCCCTGGCATCCCTCCTCCGGGAAACTTCGGCAGAAGGCCTCCGTGGTGACTTCCAGAACAAGACGACGAAGGATCTCTCCTTGCTTTCTTTGGCCACAGCTTCTGCGGGATGCACTGCTGCGGACGAGGCAAAGATGTCCAAGTTGGGCTCTGGAAATGCGGATGGAACCTTCCCCAAGTTGCTGGCGCAGTGCGGTCAGAGGAACTACAACATCTTCTTCGGCTTCAACAGTGCTAACTACGTGTCCTGTGTGGAGGGAGACACAGGCATCAGCAGCAGCTGCGCGCAGTGCTTCGTCCAGTCCGCCAAGTACGGGGTGGACCACTGCAAGTGGAGCTGCCTTTGGGGCACCTGGGCCTTTAAGCTCTTCTGAGACCCCTTCACCATAGTAGGACCAGAAAGCCCCAGATAGACTGATAGACCATTACCTTTTCGGGAGTCTTTGACATTGGCCATTCATCCACCCCGGATTCTTGTGGTACGTAGCAGCTTTGCGCCGGAAAACAAGCTGAGGCTCCTGGTGTGGCTCCAGCTGCCTCAACTGCGTGGCGCCCTCTAACGAGCAGACGACGACATGCGCGGGAGTGGCCGTGCCCACCGCGGCGTCGTGCAGGTGAAGGCAGAGGGCCGATTCCACCAAGTCCCTCACGGACCCTGAAAAAAAACCCTTAATAGACATTCGAGCTTCTGTAAAGGTCAGGGGGATGCCTGTTGGTCTTCTCCTGGACAGAATCGTTAGCTTTTGCCTGGGCCTTCGGGCCTGAAATTCAGTGCATGTACAGGGCTGCACCTGATTGCAGTCGTCCGACCTGGCAAGTGACCAGGCCGCCAGAATGCAGACAAAGCTCACGCAGGTACAGAATGAGCGTCAATACGGTGTCCAGCCATCTTCCCACCCCACATCCAAATTCAGCCCAAAGTAACGGAATGTTGCAGAACTTGGTTTGTGCAGTCATTTCGTGCCCAGAACATTCAACTGCATGCATGCTCCCCCTCACTCAACAGCAGCTGCGCTTGCACTGTCTAAACTTAAACGCGCCTCGCCTTCGCGCCTTTGGAACCCACGAGTCCTGATACACACCAAGTCAAACCCTCAAACCATGAGATTTATCAACCCTGACAGGTCCCGGCTTCGTGTGCCATGGGGCAGACCACCGTGGTGGTGCGTGCCACAGCTGCTGTGGGGAAAGGCTTTGGGGCTGAGGAATAGGGTTTTGAGATGAGGCATAAGCGGTCGCGTATGTTTTGGATTGAGTTTGAGAGATTCTGTCAAGGTTTTCACAGACCAGTGGCAAGTCCAACTCAGAACTGGCACGGCAACCGTGCCAGCTTTGCCCGACAGCTCTGAGCTCTGGCATCAGATCATGGACCCACAGTGACCCACACATGCAAGTTGGCTTCTGTTCGCCCGAGGAACTCAGCGACAGGGCCGGGAACTGTTTCATGCTCCTGGTGAGTGCCAGCATCCCAGGAGTGAAAAAGCAAAAGCCGACCCTAACCCCGAAAGCCCTTCGAGTTCTTAAAGAGCCTGGTGAGCTTTATAGGGTTTGGCCCGAGAGCATTTCGGAAACAAGGGCTTCAGCTTACCTTCGGCCACCTGAGACTTCCAATAGCTTTGTACTTGGGATGGGGTACACATGGCATTGTGTTTTGGGGTTCAGGGTTAAACATATGACATACCACATATAATTTCATATAATGCATTAGCTGTGCAATATACTACATTCTAGATATAACACAAGATGACTTAAATATGTAGGCTTGTTGGTGGCATGACGACCGCTTTGGAATCCCTGCTACCAGTAAGGATGACTGCCAGGCAAGCCCGAGAAAACCCTGAGCGTGATCGCGGGCCAAAAGTCACCATAATCACAGCCTACAGCCACAGAATGAGACGTAGGCCTTTATTCTGGATCCTTTTTTGGGGGTTCTTTAGCCCCTAGACCCTACGTAACAGCGACAGCGATGAGTTGCATGGCATCTTCGAGGTCTCTTCGCGGAAATGCCGGAGCAAGGGCCCCAGTGGTATGCCGTGCATTTAAAGCTCATTCGTAGAGGATTGGGTTTGCGTCTCTTAGACCTTCTACAACATCAAAACTCTAAACCACCAACCCTTAGGCCTTAAAGAGCCAAAGTTGGGGTCGCGCGTCGCTGGTGCGTGGATCGGGGGCAGTCGTACCGTCTTGTGGGATGGTATCCCGAAGCATCTCCCGAGCGCTCAGGTACAGGAGCAGATGGCCAGTCGTGTCAAGGAGGCAGGGTGGGTGCCGAAGTCCCCTTCGTCGAAGTCGGTCCAAGCATACGGCTACGCATGCCTGTTGCTATCCTCACTACACCATCTTGTGTGGCAATTTGGGGAGACTTGGGCGGTTGGAGGGTGCAGCCTTCATTTGGGTATCCCGCCCGCTGTTCGGGTTTTCGTGGCCGGGCAAATCATGGGTTTGCATTAGCCCCCACACACACAATCATCCCCACAAGCCCCCCCCCCCCCCCCGCCCCCCACAGGCGGCGTGCAGATCTCGCTGCTGGCGGGGGCCTACCTGCGGAACACCTCGGCGCTGCCCCTTCAACTCCAGCTCGGGGACCAGGCCAGCTCAATTAGTTTCTTGAGGGGTTTAAGAAGCCCTAGAAGCCCTAGAAGCCCTAGAAGCCCTAGAAGCCCTAGAAGCCCTAAAGCCTTGAGCCGTGGCCAGGAGGACGCAGGCACCTGCGAGATTTCCTTGCCCGCGGCAGGGTCCCCGGAGCCTCAGAGAGGTTTCAGGGCTTGGGGGTTCCGGGTCTGAGAAGCCAGGATCGGTGAAGGGCTTGTCGCCCACACGATCTAATGCCAGGCAATGACATCTATGTATACAAGTACCTAGGCTCGTTAGCGATCCCTTGTTACCTGCTTCCTTTATGGTAGTTTGGTTTCTTGCCATTCAACAACACAAGGTGCTCCTTTCTCCGCGGCACCCCGGGAACAGCCCGGCGCGAAATCTCTGAGACCCGACACAGACAGGTCTAGGCTAGGTGGGGTTGTTCTAAACACCCGCCCTTTTTCGCAGATTAGATTCAGAGGGCGCGTCAATTGTAATAGGCTTAAGACCCAAGAAACCTTGCAGTGCGCAAGGGCGAAGCTCGTGGGCGAACGGTACCCGGTACCCCAGCCCCCAGCCTACACCTCGAAGAAAGGGCCGCGCAATGAGCGCGCAAGGGCAAAGCGCAAGAGAAAATCAAAGAACAGCGGCACTCGAATAAAGAACAGCTCCCTTATAGACATCCTGCTGCCCATGCAAGACAATTCAAATTGTCGCATCTGAAGGATTCCGGTGACGACTATCTCCCCTGCCCATGGCTCCCTGCGAGTGCCTTGTCGGGCAAAAGGCGATCAAGCTTTGCGTGTGGGGATCTGGGAGTCTGTATGTGCCCTGGGATGTCAGATGCCCTTTTGGGTTCCCTAGGCCCGACACGCAGAGCATTCGTGCTTTGATACAGAGCCAAAAAACCTCTTGTGGCCTCAGGGTACAGTATGTCTATCCGCGGAAGCAGACTCTAGGCACTCTTGGTGTTGGGGGCTTTGGCTTCCTTGAAGATGCATAGGGTTCAGGGTATGGGTTTGGAGCTTGGGTGTGCGGTTGAGGTATCTTTAAATGGCTCTGCACTGCTGCTGGCTCGGCCTTTGCTCGCCGCGGGGGTGTCATGAGCAATGCATTCTGAGTCAACTTGCCGAGCTGAGGCGCCGTAGCGGCCCTGTTGGAGGCAGGTGTCTTGTCACGAGATTGTGGGGGGGGAGGGGGAGGTGTTGGGGAGCATCTTCTTGCCCTTGGAAATGTGCCTATAAGGGGGGGGGGGGGGGGGGGCATATTGGTTTTGGTGTTGTTCCTCCCTCCCAGGCCTGCAATGTGGGTTGGGAGGGGGTTTTGGTGGACTTGCCCCTTACAGACTTGCCTGGCCAGTGAGTCATCGCAGATGAAACAGGTGGGTTCCATGGCTCGGAGTACGAAACCCCCAAACACCCCTTGGCCTCGGCGGTAGATCTGCAGTGCTTGACATGGTGACAGGGGACACCTCGGAACACCTCGGCCGAGGCGGCGGGCTGTAGATACTTTGCACAGGAAATGTTGCAATTGGGGTTTAGGGTTTAGGGTAAAGGGTTTAGGGTTATAAAGACGCGTTGCCTGATGTGCAGTGGCTGCTGGACCCCAAATCCTAAGCAACAAGCACCCACTGCTGCTTGCAGGCTCCAACGTACACAGGGATGCGGCAAATTTGAGATGCTCCTTCTTTCTTTAGTAAGTGGTCAAGTAGCTTCCGAGAGTCTCATCGCATGAACGCTTCTGCGCCTTGCTACCTCAAGTCTAGACTGGCGAGTAAATCCCGTTCATATTTCCTTCATCAAAGCTTAAGCTCTAATACAACCTTACCTCATTCAATAAAACAAGGGCTCCCTTGCATACTATGACTTTGGTTTCTGGGTCACCTAAAGTAGAACACAGGCCCAGCCGAAGCGAGCACTGGTCATGCGCCTGCGGGGCACAAGTGCAGGGACCTCAATATGCATCAATCGCTCGGTGAGGTGTTAGAGTCGAGGAGCCCAGTGGTATCCCTTCTTTGGGCGTTCGGCTCCCATGTTAAACAATCGAGGTTGCCTGTTGTGTTCGACCTGGCGTTGAAAGCTCCAGGGATTGCAGGGGGCACGGCAACGGTTCGATCGGTTGGTCGCCGGCAAGGTGCACCAAGTTCAGGACGGCCTCTTGGACTCTCTAGGCTTGTAGGGCTTATGGGTTAATTTTAAAAGCCGACACGCTACGCAAGCCCTGGCGCCTTCCAACATCCTAAGCCCCCGACTTACTAAACCCCGTAGACCCCACAAAGCCGCCCACCCCACAAACCCCCCCCCCCCCCCCCCGACCCCACAAACCCAGAGGTGACAACGCCACCCGGGCATTGGGGCAGCCCCCTGCAGCTGGACCTTTGAAGCTTAAGGGTCCGCAGAGTCTTCCGGGGCTATAAGGGGTCGACAAGAGATTTGAGAGGGCCGGGGGTTCGTTCATCACCCGCAAACCACCATTCCTGCAAGATGTGCATCTTAAGCTGGCCGCCATTGGCGGCCCATCTCACATGAAATGATGATGACCGCCTGCCCGGCGCAGGACTTGTCACGCCAGGCCGGGCCCTCGGAATGGAGGGACCCTGATACCATATACGACCTTCATAGCATCGTCCCCGAGTTCCGAAGATCCCCCCAAGCCCGCAAGCCCTCACCCGCAAGCCTTACTAGAACCCCCAAACCCCCTAAGCTGAACCAAACTATGGTTCCTCTTGAGAGCCCAAGCAATTACACAGAGGCATTCGTATCTCTAAGACCGCGAAGGGCCCACAAGGGTTAAGGTGCACCACTTTTGTGAGTGGGTTCTGGGTTTAGGAATTGAGGTCTAAGGTCCCCAGGACTTCATGGGGATGCTCCTTGATGGGGATGGAAAGCTGAGGTCGGAGGATCCGAACATGCAGATTTGTTAGGCTCATGTCGCCGACAGACTGCTAGCATCCCATTGCTTCCCTTGATCGCCTGGACCTGTGTAAGTCTACCGCGGTCTACTGCAGGCAGCCCTACGAAGCCTGTGCGTCTACAATCCTTTAATCTTGCAAGCCTTTAAACCCCGAACCCTAAACTCCTGCCCAGGCCTCTGGCGGTGGTCCTGTAGGTGGCGATTGGGGGGGGATTGTCGGGTTGCCGACCATGGGGTTTGTAGATGGGTTGGGGCTCACCGGGGCTATGGCTGAGGGTTCGTGCGGTTGGCTTTAGCTCTCAGAGTTCAGGGCATCTTTGAGGGGACACCGAGGCCTCGGCACTGAATCCAAGGGGGATGTCGTGCGCAGCACGCAATTTAGTGCCGACTGGTGAGGGGGGATCCATGTCACTTAGTGTGTGTGGGTGGTGGGGCTTGTGTCTGTGTGTATGTGTGTGTGTGTGTCTTTCTGTTCTGCTTTGTTGTCTGGCAACGATCGACGGTCGATGATCGATGAGGAGTTATGGAAGCTCAACACATATGGAGTCGCCTTTGTAGTTCGAATTCGTTTTTTTCTTTCAGTTGGAACCGTCGTTTGGGAGCCCCAGGCACCAGCATTGCGCTATCAAAACCTCATGCCCCCAAGCCATCGACCTTGACCCCTACTTGGGCCCCGAGGCCCACGCAGCCCTGAGCCCGAAAGACCAGAAAATGTCTCTGGACACAGGCGCCGCATCCCTGCAGCGCGGGAAGGCGCGTCCCCCTCCTCTGGTGTCAGCCACGCACAAGAGTCGAGTGCCTTTGAAGGTGCTTTTTTGATTCGCAGTGGTTTCCATGGTTTTCCTTAGAAAACCTGAGAAACCTTTTTGATTCGCAGTGGTTTCCATGGTTTTCCTTAGAAAACCTGAGAAACCTGAAACCTGAAAAGCCCCTAAGCAGGGACATGTATCTTGGACTGGCCCAGGGGCACCGAGCTCCACAGCAATCCCTTTGCCCTCTTCTCGAGCCCTGGATTTCAACATAAGGACCTTACATAGTGCAGTCATACATAAGTGTGTGTGTATATATATACATATATGTCTATACTCCGTACGAGAAGAATCTGAATATCTGTCTATGTGCTTGTTTTAGTTGTTTTTCTCTATTTGTTACTTTACGGGGCCGTTTTGAATGTGGGCAGCGGTTCATCCTGCTCGCTTCCGAAACCCATCTCTCTGAGCCCGCCCGGAACTTTGCAGGCCTAAGCCCAGGCAGAAAAAGCACCTGCCAAACATGTCGAATGGAGCGACCCCGAACTTGCCACTTCAGAATTCCTCATGTCGAAGTGATAAGTGTATCGCACTAGGGCGGCTGCCCGGCTGGACCGGCCTTGGATGGCTTGCCTTGCCCCTGGCAGTGTTGAAGATGTGCATCATTGCACAGCGCTGTCCGGCTGCATCGCAGTTTCATTCACTGCTTCGATTCTGTCGCAAGTCCGATCACACGTGTAAGAGCGTTCGCGATGCGCTTGTCTCGCTTTTGAGCACCAACCACCTCAGACAGATGTGGAGTTTATAGATGGTTCGGATGCCGATCGTTCGGGGCCCGGATAAACCATACACTAAAGACCTAAACCCATGTCCTCTGTTCCGAGGCCCTCCCTGCTTGATCCCACGCAGCGCCATGCTTCTGGGCAGCTGCGCGCCCAGCCCTTAGGGGCATCCAAAAGAGCCAGAGGGCCTAATAAACCCTAAACCCGAGAACAACCGAGCCCCAACAGGGGAAAAGGAAGTTTCCTATGCAACATAAAGTAGTAGTTTGAACATACAGAGACAACCGACAGTTGCTGAAGTGGACGTATTTGCGGACAGCTCTGCCCGAAACCGAAACCCAAACAAAAGCCAAACCTCCTATCAACATTGTCACAGTTCAGCCCCTTTAAGGCAGCAGATCCTTCCCCACATATATATATATATATATGGCAAAGAGGGGCGAGAACACAAGTTTGGCTTTCGTTTGTGTTATGGACCTTTTGTGTTGGTGGGGCCAGTGGGGTGCGAGGGGGTGCGAAGGGGAGGAGGGGGCTCTTTAGGGGGCCTCTGTATTCTGATAGGAAAAAGCCGTAACCCGGAGCCTTCCACTCTAACCTCTTTTCCCAAACCGAACAATTAAACAAGTCCGGCAGTAGCGGCACTTGGATTCGCCAAATTTATATGCGGTCAAGGGCCTGGGGCAGCCAAGAACTCTGAATATGCCCTCAGGATGTGCCGTTGGAGCTGACAAGCGGAGAACAAACAAGGGTGCTGCTGAATGCCGTACCTCAGCGGCAAGATGTCGGTCGACCGCTTTAGGGGTCGGGGGTTTGGCGTTAGGTTTATGGAGGGTCTGTAGAGGGTGTCCATGGGTGAGGACGTGGGGTTCTAGACTGCAACAACCCTTTCCAAGGTTGCAAAATAGAACTGTATGTAGCCCCGGAACCCGACATAACGCCTGAGCTCGGTAACCTACTGATTCATGGGGGTGGAAGCTGTGTGCGAGGGTGGGTGGTGGTGGGCGGTGGTGGTGTTGAACCGGGGCTCCACACCTGGAGCGGGTAGTGATCTTAGAGTTCTTAGGGGTCCTAGGTACAATTCACTCCAGCTGAATAATTGATAAGTTGGAGTCTGATGGCTACGTTTTCGGGTCAAGAAGTGCCCCCCGAAACCCAACAAGTCCTTTTCAAGTCCCTCTGCACTGGCATGGCAAACTCCCTAGATGTGCTTTTCCGTTTTGTCCTCCAAGTGTCCTTGCCGATCGAGAACTTTACCCGCTGGTTGGAAGTGGTAATCCCAGCTCTGATGCGGAGCTCATCCACTGGAGACAGCTATGAGGCAGAACCTCGCGCTGTGCTGCGAGGTTCAGACACTGCTGGCCGAGTGGTGGATGTGCTGTGGTCGTTCAAACGCGGCAATCAGAAAACACTTGGTTGGATTCTCTCCAACATCAACGAATCTGCCAAAGCTGCTGACCTTCCGCCTGTTGTCGTGGCGTTTTGCCTCGGAGCCGACAGCGGCAGCTTTCGCTTGTGGTTTGGCTTGCTTCGGCTCAGAGATTTGGAAGGGCCCGGGGCCGAAACATCTTTCAGCTTGTTTAGCAAGGAGCCGCTGTTGAGGCCAACACTTACGCAACAGTTTTATGATGAGCTTGTTTGGTATACCATGAAGGGCCCCCTTGAAGTGAGCTTGTGCACGGAGCACCGGCGGCGTAAACGGGCCCTGAAGGAATTGTTGGAGAGTGGAGGTTCCTGTGCAGCGTGTGAGTTTGTTGCTGCCTTGGAAGATCCTTACTCCTTTCTCCAAGAAGAGGACTTTGTAACTGAGATGGAGCTTTGGCTGCCGGGCTGGAGAGATCCTTACGGAAAGCGGCTGAAGTGGCTTTCAACTCTGTTGGGGCGTTCTGGACATCTCCCTTTCGCCTTCATTGCGGAGAAGGTGGCATCGTTCGTTTTCCCGCAAGGACATCCGCTACACCCTGTCCAGGTAGACGATCTGACCGCGCTCAATCTGCCGACGCTGGACTCCGAATCCGAGTAAGTCCTGGGATCCCGTCCTCCCTTGTACAGTATACAGACCTGCGCCTTTGGGTGCCTCGGGCCCAGCATATGCTGCACTTCCGTTTTGCACACTTTGCTCACTTTGCTCCAAAGCTCTAGCAAAGTGAGCTGAAGAATCCTTGTAGGGCTTCATGACTTACGGCTCGGGCGTGCAAGTTGTCAAGCGTACTGGCACCTCCACAACAAGTTGTGATCGGCAGTCGACTTTTTTTGAGGAATCTTTTTTGTTTTGTTGGGGGATTTGTCCTGTTGTTAGGGAGGAGGGAGTCGCACAGGAGGTTGATGTTTGGGTCCTTGTCGTGCGATGAATCTGCAGATATCGGCAAGGTCCTTGCGTCGATGCTCGCGATTTTGCAGGGTACAGGTGGTACCTCACAAGAAATCCGAAAGTCCCTTCGCCGTCCATCGTCCACCCCCCCCGACGCTTAGGCATACCACGTCCACCAAAGCCGGGCTTTGATTCTGTCGCTGGTGCCAAGTGTGCAGCCGCCCCTGGTCGGGGCACCTATGCTTGCATGCGAAACAAATCCGTTTGGGCTCTAACGAAGTTCAGGGTGCATATGGTCGGATCCAGGGTGCTGCTGGGACAGGCTTTGCAGGTTCTGTCTCGGGCAGGTGTTTGTGAAGCAGACGTAAGGAGGCACTTTGCATGCCTTCGCAGAGAGCCTACACCCATCGAAGCCGTCGGAGCCCTAAACCCCGATTCCCACCCCGAAATCTGAAGCCCTAATGTACACCCCCTGAAGGCCCTCAAACCCCCAGATCCCTGAACCTTGAACCCCACATCCCACATCCCACATCCTTTTCAAACTTTGACCCCTTGGATCACAGGTCTGTGCCAACTTCTCCGACCGCAGCATTTGGATCTCTGAGGCCGCCGACCTCAGTAGTTTTTACGGCTTCTCAGGCCCTACAGCAGGGCCCTATAAATCTTAACCGTCTTAACCCTAAGACGCTTATAACACCGAAGTAGCCTAGACCCTGAAGGCTAGGTAGAGATGTACTTGCGCAAGTTGATGCAGGTAACCGTGATACTATCACTTGGAGCAAATCCCAAAATCCGAGACGCTGGGCTTTCAGGTTGGGGGCTTACGAGGACTCTAAACCCTGCAACCTCTAAAACCCTAAACCACCCTGCAATACCCCTAAACCCTAAACCACACAGACGCTGAGCAGGCATGGCGTGGCACGGCGAGCAGCCCAAGCGGCTTCCTTCGGCTTGCACGGAGCTTAGCGGAGAAGGGGAGCCTACATCGACAAGATCCCTATGGTTTCAGGGTTAGGGCTGCAGAGGTTGAGGGTTAAGGGGTTGGCTCTCTAATTGAGCCTTAAAGTACTACAGGATGGTCCCTTGAGGCTCCGATAGGGCATTTCCCACAAGAGGGCAATCCGCTTTCTACCCCAAGCGCAACGGAATCCCTGTAAAGGGGCCTCCAAGAGGAATTGAGCCCTCAAACCCTAGACCTTATAAGCCTTAAATGAATTTCTACAATACCCAACACGGGGCAAAGTGGGCCAAGGCGCCGTCCACGACCTCGGAGCTGCCATGCCCCTTACTGCGCACCTTGGAGGCTCCACACAGAACTTGCTGAAAGCCAAGGCCAATGATAATCCTCACTTTTGGCGATGACGACAAATACAAAGGATATGAAAAGTAAAAAACAGGTTGTAGAGTAACACTAACAGCTGAAATCGCTATAATGGACTATGAGAGTTATACTGGTTATGAAGATTCTTCGAATCAGAATGTAGATTATGGGATTTCATGGGCTTGCAGGGTCCAGGTTTTCAGCTCCTCGAACTGAAGCCCGAAACCCCAAATGTGGGTTAGGCGCCGAGGGTTTGGGGTTCAGAGAATCAATGCTTGGAATTAGTGATGCGCAGGTTTTCCCCAACGCCCCCACCGACGGCACCGCGCCGAGCGAGACGCCCAGCGCTGAGGCCAACCACACATCCTCGGGCTTTGACAGATATCCTGAAGGGCAAAGATCCTAGAAGAGCTGCTCCAATCAGCTCCTATCAGTTCAGCAAGCAAGGCCCGCTAAACCCTATAAATACTCCACCTGAAGAATCTCTTAAACCCAAAATCTGCTGTTTCCGAGGTCCCTGCCTGATTGCTGGGCTTCGAACTTTTTAGACCTGTTTCGAATACCCAGCCTACAGTTTCGAGCGGCCTGCAAGGGTATCGGAATAGCCAAGGTGCAACAGGCAGGGGCGATTTAGGGCAGGGTAGTCCGATAGCCCCGACCCCTAAGCCTGAAACCTAAAGCAGGCCGTCCGGGCGCGGCTGTCCTTGGACCCTGAGAGCACAGAGGAGGAGGACTCAGGGCATTAGGAGGTTCAGAGTTTGGGGTTCGGGGGCTTCGGGTGCTTGAAGACATGAAGGCACCGACCTAGTTTGCAAGAATTAGTGTTGGGAGGGGTTGCTGCTGCATCCAGCCCAGAGCCTGAGGGAGCGGCAGCCTTCAGTGCACAGCCTCACCCCAGACCGAGCAGCCTGAAACCCAGAGCCTTTACATCTTAAGCCGCAAGCCCTCAACTCTCAACCCTGGCCCGAAACCCTAAACTCTATAATTCCCAGACCCTACAAGCCCTAGCCGCTAAAGACTCCTGAAGTGGCCAGGCCGCAGGCGGGTCTTGGCACTTGGATGTGGTTCTCGGCAACGAGGACAGCGACAGGCGGCCGGGCTTGCCTTGCGCCTTTGTTGTGTTTGGGGTCGTTGGGGTCCAGATTTTTGGTTCTGACGTCCTCTGGTCCCCTGCTCCTTCGGTGCTCTGTTGTCCCGTGGTCCTCTGGCCCTGGTCTTCCTCCGGTCCACTTCAGAAGCCGTGCAAACCCTTTTTCAGAGCATATGAATCCAACCAAACCGCTTCAAAGCCCCAACCCCCCTGCTTTTTTGGGCAATGCCAGCTTGCGTCAAAGCAAAGGATTCCCTTCCAAACCTATCGCGCGAGTATTGTGTTGCAAATCTGGGGAGGGGGGGAGGGGCTGCCCCCCCAACCCCCCACACCGTATGAACCCCTTCCAAACCCATCGTGAGAGCATTGTGCTTGACCCCCCCTCCCGCCGGTTCAGGGCTTTTGCCTTGTAATTTGAGGCGTTTGAGCTCTTGGAAGAGGGGTGCAGCTTAGGGTCTGCTAGGATCCTTTGCCGCATCCCTGCCAAAAACCGCTGCGCATGGGATTCACAGTTAGGGAAGTTGAGGTTTTCAAGTTTACCTTGACCCCACAAGTACTACCCTGTAATATGGATCTATAAAAGGGTAGTTGGAGGTTTTTCCAACTACTCACGGGTTCAGCCCTTAGCACTGCATCTCCTACGAGGCAAACGTCGTCTACGCCTACACCCTAAACCCCCAAAAAGCACAAAACCCTGAAACGAAACCGACGCAAACCCAAGACCTGAAGTCCGGAAACCCTACAACCCAAGCCCACCCTCAACCACTCGAGCGGGCCTCTCAGTCACAGGTCCTGGCAGACACCCTGCCCACGAGGCCCGAGCTAAGATCATGGGTAAAAGGTATATTTTCCATGTGCCACCGGGGATGACGGGTTGTAGGGTTTCACGGTACTATAGGTCCTTTCAGAAGGAACCGGCGGGGTGGAAGGAGCCCATCTTCCAATGGCAAGGCTCACCAAGGGCTTCTGAAAGCCTTGCTTGGGGAAGCTTGGGCCCTTACACCCGCTCCCTTCCACTCCACCCCCCCCTTGAATTCTTATGAATCCTTAGGGTGCAGGGTTCATGTGTGCCCTTCCCTGGTGCTAGATGCGAAGCTGCTAGCAGCTGCCTTCGGATTAGGATCCCCAAGGTCTGAACTCAATGGGGGGGGGGGGGGAGTCTAGGGTTTAGGTTTAGGGTTTAGGTTTAGGGTTTAGGGTTCATGAGGCCTCGAGACACTTCCGCCACTGGAAGTCGCCGTGCGCAGTGGGGAGCTCCAGCTCTTCTCCTTTAGACTTGCCTTGGTAGCCTGGTGGTACCCTGTGACCCCTTTATTTGCTCTGGTTTCCCTTCTAGAGTAACCTTCCAAAAACAGGGTGCCCTTATTATAACATTATAATATGGTTACTGGGCTACCAAGTTGCCTTGCTTGGTACAGGAAGCGGAAAATCCGCAGTACGAGTTGCACTCCCTCATCCCTGTATGCCTTCTGGGTACTTGGGTTGTGATTGTCGAACTATGCCCATTTTGCGTAGTTCCAGAACCCTGGTTGGGAAGCAAAGCGTTTTGGGATTATTTTGGGCATGGTTGAAAGGTACACCTAGTCCAGAAAGACTTCTGAAAATCGTCTCCCAGGTTCGCAGTCGCATCAATTGGGCTCGCGGGTAGAATTGTGCCAGAAGTCTGCAGGGCCAAGGCAGCAACCGCAACTCTCGTCTTGTTGTTAGATTCCCTGGCCCGAAAACTGGTGTAAGGTGTCATGTGCACCCTCATGTCAGGCCTGTTACGTGTTCGATCTGCATCGCTTATGGCCTTGCTTGTGCAGGCGTTAGTAGAGGCTCCAGGGTGACGTGCGCTGACGCCACCGCAAGACCACGAGGTGCTTCTGGAGTGACGAGGATCGAAATCCGGGACGAGAGGCCGGCTTTCTAAAGTGCACCCTGGAATCGACCGGGGGTGTTTAGACCAGTGGCTTTGGGTTCATCAGTCTCATCATCCGGATATATCTCCGGATCCTCAAAGAATCTCAGCCAAACGAAGTTTTCTGGTGGAACTTCCTTCTTGCATGACACCCTTGCACCAGTCAGGAAGTCAGCACGTCCATGGCAGGTTAGGGAACTTGAAGGCTTACCGACTCCCAGGCTCAAAGTAGCCTACGATGTTCGAGGCCCCAGGCTACCGTGCAGCCTCGAAACCAGCCGCAAAGCTTGACACAGGTTTCATTGGGCGGACCACATGCCGCCCATCAAAAGGCTTCCCCTTCGAATGCACCCGAAAAAAAGTAGAACTTTCATCATATCGTCCCAGAGCTAAACCCGTGAAGCCCTCAACTCTCAAACATAGACAGGACACTCTAAACCAAACAGCTTTCAAGCCCCGAAAGTCCCCGAAGCCCTAAGCACCCCATGCAGGCTGGGGCCAGCACGGCCGGAGGCATCGACTGCACACATCTGGGGCAGCTTCCGAAATTTGTATGGGGGCCCTTCCTAGGGTTCCTAGGGTTTAGGGTTTAAGGGGGTTTCGGTGGTTGGGTGGGTTTAGGGTTGAGAGGGATTCTGCTTGCATGTTGATGGCAGCTTCCCGAAATTTGCACTGCAAAGTAGGTGAATCGTAAAGCCAACAGCAGCCGCAACAAGTGCAAGGGTAGGTCCCCCTGCCTACACGCAGCTCAAGAGTTAACACCCTTTTCTAGGGGATTGACAGGCTCAGATTGCTTACAACCATGTGAATGTTGATTTAGGGTTTATAGGATTAAGGGTGATGAGTGTCTTCAGTGCTTGTGACGACCTGCAAAGCGCAATTCCCCACGCCACCAACGCTCTAAAGTTTCAACTCAAAAGTTAATTCGTGTCATGGACATGGCTGCCTCAGCCTCACATGGCAAGAGTCGCGCTGGAATCACCGAACACCCGAACACCTCAAACGTCTCGAAGTATGAACAAGCGTTATAATTAACCTCTCATGTTGCGAATTTTGGATTTAGGGTTATTTAGGGCTTAGGGTTTAGGGTTTAGGGAGAATGTTGCTTTCTTTGGTCAACAAGCTTTGTGAGGCACCCGAGCCCCCACCGCGCCGCGGTCCCCTGCCGGCCACCTTAGACCTGGAGCTCAAGGCCTTGCGGGTTGCGGGTTTAGGGTTTAGGGCTTAGGGTTTAGGGTTTAGGTTGATTAGGAGTTAGAGGCTTTTTGCAGTCCAAGATGGAGGCTTTGAGGGTTTTGCAGGTTTGCGGTTTAGGGCCGCTTAGATGATTTAGGGCAGTGCTGATAAGGGGTTGAAGATTTGTCGCGCGATTTATGGATCTGTGGCCTGAGGGATTCAGGGATTCGGCGCTCGCTTATTTGCGCCTCCCGCAAATTGAATCCCATACTGTTAAGGGGTGGCTGAAGGCAGGGCTACGCCCTGAATTCCGAAAAGACCTTCCTTGAGCGAAACAGCGAAGAGGTGGACGACCTCGAAGCTCAAATACCCGGTGCCGGAGGCCAGGTTCTGTTGCCGCTTCACATGGCGATTTCGGGTTTGAGGTCTTGAGGTGTTGCCTGGAATCGAGGCTTGTTTAGCTTGAGGGTATTTCCAACAGCAACACCGGGTTCCCCGTTGTCGCGAAGATGTCAGAAGGTCTGAAGGGAAGCACCGTTCTCGCAGCTGTGAGGCGTTAAAGACCCCGAGTGTAGGGGGGGGGGTTGGCGATCTAAATTGCCTTTCCTTGGTCTCTACCATAGCCGATGACGTTAGATCAGACCCCCCAAGACGGCAAGCCTACGCAAAGCCACTACACCCGCAACCGTCCAGCTGGGAGGTGCGATGGCAGTTCACGCCGCCTCCGTGAAGCTCGGCCGCCTCCTCACCGAAGCTCCGTGAACTCAACTTCGGGTTTCTTGCCCTCGGCAGGGCTTTAGGGTTCTTAGAGATTTTTAGGCCGAGGTTAAGAGGTGAAGTTGTTTTGTTTTTGTCCAATCGCAGCAGCAAGGGCCACATGAGGGTTGCACCAAACTCCGGTCCCCTAAACCCGTCACCCTTACCTTGAAAACGATGAACCGGTTTCTTTTTGGCAGCTTAGGAAAGCAGTTGACCCGTAAGCCCTCAACCACGCCATTTCAGGAAAACCGCCCCTCTCTCTAGCAATCCTTGTGACCCCGAGTTTAGTCATCTCCTTGCGAGGCTACCGCAGTGAGGCCCGTTCGGGAGGGGCTTGGGGGGTCGAATGTTGCTTTAAGTCATCTCTCCTGCTTACGGATTGGATGTATGGGTGAGAGGGGCTGCATGCCCTGAAGCCCCACCAACGTTATTCCAAACCCCGAGGAGGGCACCACGTGGGGCTTTTGGGTTTAAGTTTAACGTTTAGAGTGCCCGAATGGCTGGGGGGAGGGGGCTTGTAGATTATCATAGTCAGTGTTCAGGTCTGACTATTTTCTGGTTCAGGGCTGGGGTTCATAGACAGGGTCCTTTGCGGGCAGTTCCTCACAGCACCTTGAAACATGCCTGGCTCACGAGGCCACCGGGTAGCCAAATCCTGAACCCCAAGACCTGAATCGCAGACCAAGGCCTTCCAAACCTCCAGACATCCTAAAGCCCTCAAGGAACTCAGCTTGACTCAACCGCCCCCCCCCCCCCTCCCACACCTACAACCCGAAGGCTCCACAAGCCCGGAGAGGCCCTCCCCCCCCCCCAATCCTCCTAAGACCCCATTAAGACCGCAAGCCCCAGCAGAGCCATGAAAACTGTCCGCGGCGTCACCGCCGCCGCGGCCGCGTCTCCGACAGCGCGGCGGGCGGTGCTGGGTGCCTTGTGATTTTTGGTGTTTGGGGTTTAGGGTTTAGGGTTTAGGGTTTTGGACTTGGAGCTGTTGGGTTTTAGGTTTTTGGGGGCTTTGGGGCTTTAGGGCCTGCAGGGCCTTGTTGGTTTGAGGAGTTGTGGGGTTCAGCTGCGCCCTCAGCTTCAAGAAAGATTCTCAGAGACCACCCCCACATGGCTATGCAGCTCCCCCCCAAGCAGCCCTCTTTCCTAGAATCCTTGACCCTGGAATCCCTGCAACGCTGAAGAAGGGGCCTGAACCCTAAACCCTAAACCCTTATGGATATCCGGGAGTTGCCCACGTTGCCCCTTGAGCTGTCCGAGGTCTTTTGCTGGGTCTGGCCACGCTGCTGTGGGCTGCTCGCAGGCACGTCCCGCCCGAAGCAGGGTGTCTAGGAGTTTTGGGGGTTTTTCAAAGAAGGTGTAGAACGCACAGGGGGGATTACGGGGGTTTCGGGTTGAATCTCCTGACTTTGGCTTGGCCTGCTACAGGGCTCCCCCATGATCCAGCACCCAGGCCTCTAAAGCCCCTTTGCCAGGTCTGGGACTTTGTGGGTCCTCGCACTTCTTCTGTGCGTTCTGCTGGCTGCTGGCCTTCATGGAGTACCAGCACTAGTGGTATTCCCTTTAGTACTACTAGTTGCTAGTACTACTAGCATTAGTAGGATTACGAACTAGGATTATTAGTATTACTCGTACGATGAGTAAATAGTGTTACTAGGATTACTAGCATGACTAGCTTTGCTAGCATGACTAGCATTACTAGCATGGGTCGCTTTGAGGGATCCTTTTAGGGGTTAATGTAAGGGCCCCTGAAAAATCCTCTTGTACGCTTGGATTTCTGGAGTGCTGCGGGTCTTAGGCTTATAGGACTTTGCGAACAAGGGTTCTTATTCACCCTAAACCCCAGACCCTAACCGTGCTACTCCTAGTAGGCGTTCTCAGGGTTTAGGCGCCGGGCTGGTTTAGGATGGAGCTCTGGTCCTCTTCTATAGGGTTTAGCGTATAGGGTTTAGGGTTTGCCGGGTTTACGGCTTAGGGTTTAGGGTTTAGGTTTCCTGAACCCCAAGCCACGCAAGCTTTTCGTTGTGCTAACTGCTAACACTGCTCAGGTTTATTAGGAGGTTGGGCGAGGCACGGACCTACATGAGGTCTTTTCCGGTTCCCCTTTAAAGGTCCCCTTTTAAGGGTTGGTGTTCAGGCTTTAGGGATTCATCGGTTCCTGCATGATGCACATGCCGGCTCGAACACAAAAAGGAGCGCTAGAAACCGCCCCATGCGGTTTCCGCACTATAGGAGCGACGCCAACGTGGAGCTTCACACATGGCAGAGTTACGAAAGGTGGTCGTTTGCACGCCCGGTGGCCGAGAGATTGAAGTGGACTTCAGTGAGGAGGGAACCGTCCGGGCCCTGAAGGAGCAGCTGCAAGAAGCAGTCGGTGAAAGCCCTGCTCGGATGACATTGCTCCTATATCCCCCTTGGGAGTTATTTTTTATTCTTGTTTATATAAAACACCCAAGAGGATATTTAAAAGATTATTTGTATTAAGGTTCTAAGGGGAGTATAGGCTCCATGGCGGCACCGTGCTCAAGGATGACGAGAGGCTTGCCGAGACCAGCTCGGGCTTGACACTGGTCATGTCGTCTTTGCCAAGCGGCTGCTTTACGGTCTCCTCGAAGAGCATGTACGAGGAAGGTCACACCACGGTTGACGTGACGGCTGAGTTTCAGAGCGACGGCGCCTTCCGCATTGCGATCCGGGAGACCAAAGACAGAGATGACGAAGACGACGAGCCTGACCCGTACGAAGCAGGAGCTGCCTGGGATCAGAAGTACACCGGCACTTGCGTCGCAAACGGCCAGGATCTGAGGCTTGCGATTTCTGACTCGGACCGCAAGGGCTACTTCGACCATCTGCCCCCACTTGACGCGGAGTTCAGGGGCACCTATGCGAGCGCCTCGGAGCTCCAGCTGCGGCTGCCTTTGGCAGCAGAAGGAACTGCTGACCTGGCCTTGGTCTCACTGCAAAAGGCATGGAGGGACTTGGGGGACTTAAGGGATTTAGGGTTTATGGATGCAGGGACTTGGGGATGAAGGGATTTAGGGTTTATGGATTTTGGGATTTTGGGATTAAGGGTTTAGGGTTTATCGGGTTTAGAGTGGAAGTCGTGTCAAAGTGCAACATCTTGTCAGTCGTGGTATGTGTTCTCTACAGATCGTATGTCTCTTTTTCCCGCGCTTGTCTCCTTCACCCTCGGCCCTGCGCCCAAAATCTTCCCAATGCGTGCGCTGTCACGCAAGCGTCCAGAAGTTCAGAATATGATGTGACCTGTGATGATTACTATCACTTGATGACGATCATGACCTGATTGTCTCCTCCTTGCCAAGGAGGAGGCCTACGTTCTTCACGACTGGTCTGTGGACCTCGTCTCTCGCCGACCTTGGGAGGGTGGGCAGATGATGAAATTTCATGTCCATGTATACATAGATGATAACACAAAAAAAGCAGTTACAGTTGTGATGGAGGGCATGGTTCGATATGGTACGGTGCTGGATGTTGCTTTTCTGTTCGGTTCGGCTCGGGGTTGGAGGTGATACTTCTCTAAACGTATTGCTGGGATTGCCTGTGGTCAACGAATTGCCTGGCGCGCTTCTCAACCAATGGTTCACTAATCCCGCCGCCGTATCAATCAGGAAAGGTTGCGGAGGCAAACTGCTCTCAGCACCCTCGTGTTGTGTACAATTCGTTGAGTGTCACGGGCAGTACACATGCAGGACTCTGCAACTCTGACTTAGGTGTCGCGACTTTGCCCGTCGGATGTCGCCCGGCATTGAACGACGCCTCCGATTTGGGGCTGGTAGGCTCATGTTGTTTTTTTTCAGGGTATAACAATCAGGTAACATTTCGGTGTGTGCAGGGTGTATACAGAGGCCCAACATATGTATGTATGTATGTATGTATGTATGTATGTATGTATGTATGTATGTATGTATGTATGTATGTATGTATGTATATATATATATATGCATATATACAACCGAGACACATGGACCCTTAGGTGCGCAATGACAATGGAGAACGGCACAGCCTTGGCCCATGGAACGTGCTTTCAGTACCAGCATGGAAGTGTCAATTCTTTGTTTTCGAGCTTCCGTTCAAACAAGCTTGCAGATGTGCACAGCCTGTGGTCCCACCCGATCCACGGCAGCACTCTCTTGTCTCTAAATGCCACAACATACTGTGCCCAGAGGAAGCGTACAAACTATCCTGTTTTCATAGAGTCCCAGACACAAGGGGCCAAAGAACAACACGGGCACACGATAGAGACCACAATTTAGAGGAGAGGGTTTTTTGATCTTCCGATCGAGTCTTGTTTAGAATGGGTCTAAGGGGTTTAGGGTATAGGGTCAGCCAGCAGGTTCTGTGGCGATACCAGCTGAGTGAGCCACGCTGCGCCCTCACCATTGACGACGTGCCGCTGCTGGACAAGCCGTCCCAGCTGGAGGCGCTTGCGCTTCAACGCCCACAGCGTTCTAAACACCCTCATCCGCGTAGTAGGGTTTTTGTAGCAGAGTCTCATCAGAGGTCTCTTTGTAGGGCCCGGGCCGGACACATGAAACGTCGCACTGTGGCACCAGCGTCAGGAAATCCTCGATGTGCTCAAGAAGAACAAGGCCCACCCTTTGCGTGTGAGGCTACCCCTTAGGGGCATGGACCACATGGACCTGTTGCAAAGAGGGTGCCAAGGAGACCAAAGGAGAACCAGTGAACCATGCAGCTGAACTTGCAAAGAGAGGGTCGGTGACACCTGTCATGTTGTCCAGGTCAAAGCTACCTTGATGATCATGTCTGGCTTCGATTTACCGCCAGAACAAGGCAGGCCTTCAAGTAGCTCTTGTGCGAGATTTCGGGTACTTCCAGGGGGAGCCTCTAAGCCCCTACAAAGCCCCTCAACTTCCTTCGCCCTGACCTCGAGCCGCCACGTGCAAGGTGGGCCGCCGGCAGCATTGCGGAAGCGTGCCGCGGGCAGGATTAATTTTCAGGGCTTCTGGGGATTCTGCAAGCCCTGGAAACCCTCAAGCCCGCAGAAACCCTCAAGCCGCCTGTAAACGCATAGGCCTCCAGTCTTGGGATTTCCGTTTGGAGTTTGTGGAGGTGGGACTTGGGCTCCTTGTGAAGCCCACAAAATTTTGCACCCTGAGACAGCGCCGCAATTGAGGCTACCGCACGCTGCTGCAGCGGGCCGTCAAGGAGGGCCACGAGCTGGGGAACCACCTCCAGTTCGTGCCTTTCCCGCTTCAGTTCAGAGACAGGTTCCTTAGTTCTCTTTTTTTTGTGCCCAATGATGCAACCATGATCCCCCTGACTTCCACAGCCCATAGACCCGAACTTGAACTTTTTGGGGCTTTCAGGTTTTGTGGCATAATCTTCTCAAGTTTAAACTTATATAAGCTTTTGCCTTTCAATGCCTTGAGGGAGAGTTCTTTGCTTAAGGGCAACGGTTGCGAGTCTCTGGTAGGATTTTGGGGGGTCGATCCTGAAACCCCTCGCGTTCAAAACTCCCAGTGAACTAGTTTAGGAATCTTGCCGTTGTTCCCTCCACACGGGACCTTTCATAACAGGCTTGTGGAGTATTATTAAGAGTTGAGTGAACACATTCGTAGTATTCTTTCACCACCTATCTTATTGGGGCTACAACTGTATTATTGTTGGGGGGGGGGGTGCAAACTAGTTGTAAATGCGCCCGTTATCTTATTATTACCGTGAAGTGAATGAAAACTAATGATTAGCGAATGAAGAAGCGAAGCAAAGAGTGAGCACACGGTACGTTTCGTTCATGCGTTTCAATCACTCGTTCATTCTCTTGAAGCCTTGGACTGGGGGTTGATCGTATAAGGGTAAGAACACCGAATCCCAAACCTCTTCCAGCCTCAAATGCCGAACACATCCCCAGGATCGTCCCGCCATAGCCCGGGGCCTAGCTGCTGTCAGGGAGGGCTCCGAGGGCATTGAAGGAGATGGGAGGTGTGAGGGTTTCGAGGGGTTAGGGTTTCTTTGGGGGGCTTGGAGGCAAGCACAAGCCTCAAAAGGTTTCTCAGACCTTCAGCTCATGTTGAACCGTTGTTCTCGTTTGTTACTGGTAGGGTTAGCTTCCCCTATAAACCCAATGCAAAGAAGCACGGGTTCCCTTGCTTTAGCTAGGCTGCTGTACTGGGGACTCCGGGTCAAGGCTATGGACGCGGTGGACTTCGACAAGGCCTTCCACCACTGTGACAGCCGCTGAGAAGCAGAGGGTAGGGGCAGGGCGTAGGGTTGCATTGGGTTCGACAGCCCCCCCACTCTTAAAGGCATGCAGCCCTTTGCTAATCCTTTGTAAAACTCTCGCTAAACAAAGAAACGCTCCGCCCAGGTTTGATCGCCGAACTTTCTGGGGGCGGAGGCGTCAAGACCGGGGGGAGGGGGGGTTGGCCTTTAGGGTTCGCCTGGGACTCTGTAATGTTTCTTGTGTGCTTACAGGTTTTGCGGGGTTATGCTTGCTACTCGTCCTGCAGCTATAGGAGAGAATGCGACCCAGGCGGTAGCAGAGTTACAGGTGATCAAGGTGTGTGGTTCCCCACCTTCGGTGTGGGGTTGTTAGATTTTAAACTCAACTCTTCTCCTCGCCCGGAACTCTTCTCCTCGCCCGGTCTACTCCGAGAGACTCCCTGAAATGCCCCAGACAGGGAGTGCCCGGTGGGCCTTTCTGGAGTGCCCAACCCTAGAGTCTCCCTGGACTGCCAACGCAGAGACTCCTGAGTGCCCAACCCCGGACTCTCCCTGGCGTCCAACGTGAGAGTTTCACTGGAGCGCCCGACCTGGAAAAGTGTCCAACCTCAGAGTGCCCAATGCCAGACACTCCTGGAGTGCCCTCCCTGGAGCGCCAACCCCAGAGTTTCCCTGCAGTGCCCAATACCCTGAGTCTCCCGTGCCCAGCCCGCGCTGGAGTGCCCCAGAGACTCTGTGAAGTGCCCAAGCCAGAGACTTCCTGGAGAGCCCAAGCCCAGACACCCTAAAAACGCTGGAGTGCCCAACCCCAGAAGATGCCGGAGTGCCCAAACCCAGAGACCCCCAGAAACTACTTGCCCAACCCAGAGACTCCCTGGAGTGCCCAACGGCCAACCCCAGAGACTTTCTGGAGTGCCCAACCCCAATTGCAAGCAAAAACTAAAAAAGCGCATGTGAATCAATGTGTCTTTGTTTGAACATCTTATTTGCTCTCTTTCCTTTCAACGAGGAGCAAGGTGGGGATGTTCGAAGTAAAATAATATACTTTTTGAAGATAAACCCCAAGTCCTTAGAAAACTCAGGCAACTCGCCATTCCATTCTTGCGACAGACCCTTACAAGGGGCACTCAGGCAAGCAATGATCGGGGCTATGTTTGCGGCGACGTGGGTGTATAGGGATAGTACAGGTACATGTGTGTGTGTGTGTGTTTCTAGAATATAGGGGCTACATTTGTCATACAATTTAGTTGGGAGTATGCAACTATGTAAGGCAGACCCCTGGTGTCTCTTTAGAGGTGCCTGGACGCAGCGACCCTGCCGCTGGTTCCGACCGGCCTCGGCCCTCTTCAATCAGTGCCCTGGGCGGTCTTGGGTTGAAGGCAATATGGAGGGGTCGGAATAGATTCCTAATCGTATTCCCTTATGATGATGGTCCCTTTATGAATCTACTATACTGGCCCCCCAAAACCGTATTCCAATTATCCAGGCCCCTGTTTACTACATTAGGCGGTTTGGAGGGGTTTGGGGCAAAGGCTACTGTTACATACTGTGAAAGACTCTTCAATACACGATTATACGATATTATACACTATGTGCTACTATATACTATTGTGTACTACTATATGTACTAATGTTGCTTTCCTAGTTATGCTCTCGACTTGTGCCATTATGTGCTATTATGTAGTATTGTTGCTTTCCTAGTTAGGCTTTCGAATTGGCTTTTCGCGCTTGGAGCCAACTCGTAGTGTGGAGTCCAGGGACCCTGGAACTTCAGTCCTGCTGCCCACAGCAAAAAGGGTTAGGGCTTAGGGCTTATAGGGTTCAGGGAATTTCCAAATCCTGCACTCTACAAACTGGAAAGAGCCTCCAACACTCTGTGGTCACTTCTCGAAAACATGGTCGCTCTTGGGTTCCTGATTACAAGGCGGCCCCCATCTTTTAAGATACCCCGAAAAAAGGACCATAATTTAGAGAAGTACAGGCCATGGGTGTTTGGCACCAATGCAGGTTTCGTGGCTTCCGGGCTCAGAGGCAATCAATAGTATTTGAACTCAGCAAAGACATGCGCGCTCACACATGTCCTCTCGTGACAACGGGGGAAGCTTCGGCTCCTAGCCAATTGTTTTTCGATTCCACCGCGCAACCAAGTTTGATTCTTTGAACGTTTTCGGACAAATGCATGGTTTGGGGCAGAGCTTGACAAGAATCATGAAATCAACAGTTCCTGGCCACACGGACCCGTATGCCACATGCCACGCAAACTCTCCTGGCAGCTCAGACGTGCCATCGGATCTCGCGTGAAGTCCACGGTTCTATGCTAACCCGCCACTCAGGCACATGCTCACCTCGGCGCGGGGCAAGGGATACACAACTGTCATCGCCAGCTGCTATCCGCTGCTCGGCGGGGAGGGTCTGCGCAGTTTTTGGGCCGCTGGTTGAGGGCTTTGATTTACTGAAGGCCTTTGAGCCTGATCTTGCTTGTGACAAAACTGCGGGGCTTCGTTTCTGAAACAGAAGGGCGTTTATGGACCCCGCGTGCTCCTTTGATTGCAGCGTCTTGGTTGGAGTAGACCCAGCTGCGGCTTCGGCGATTGTCCTAAACCTAGACTCCATTCAAGACTGTAGGAGCTTTATGGGGGTGTAAAACTATTTACCATTGTCCTTTCAAGCTCCCACAAAGTCATGAAATAACAATGTTTGCATCAGTAAGAAACGTACTGAGAATATTCGTGTGATGGATAAGAACGGTACTGACCGCAGCCCGGAAACAAACCTATACTTTCTCAACAGGCCCCCTATATTACTTCTCTACAACCAAGGCACGACGTGGCCTCCATCACTCGCTTCATCAACAGCTGGTACTTAAGGCAAGGGATGTAGGTCTACTGCGGTTTCAGTCGGCGTGAGCCCTCAAAAGCCTTTAGCTTTATAGTATATTTAAAAAAGCAGCAGTATAAATATAAATAAACAAATAGATAGATAGATATATATATATATATAATAGTAGTGTGAATAACTCGCCTACAGAAAATAACGTTCAGCATTCGCCCTGCGGAAGTCGAACTATCCACACGTGAAGTTGTGCGCCCTGCCTTGGTGAATGTTGTGCAGGTGGCGCGTGCGCCCCGGGGCCATCATTGTGGTTCACGACAGATGGCTCCTTGGACGTTAGGTTTAGGGTTTAGGGTTTAGGGTTTAGGGTTTAGGGTTTAGGGTTAAGCTGGCACTCGGAAACCCGACATGGAAGGAAGTGCTTGGCGCATGCCTCCCTGCATCGGGGAATCGGAGCAGGTGCCCCGAAGTCGTAGCAAACCCTGACACAACGGGTTTAGGGTTTATAGGCTTTATAGGGTTTATAGGGTTTACAGGGTTTATAGGGTTTATAGGGTTTATAGGCTTTATAGGCTTTATAGGCTTTATAGGCTTTATAGGCTTTATAGGGTTTATAGGGTTTATAGGGTTTATAGGCTTTATAGGCTTTATAGGCTTTATAGGCTTTATAGGCTTTATAGGGTTTATAGGGTTTATAGGCTTTATAGGGTTTATAGGCTTTATAGGCTTTATAGGCTTTATAGGGTTTATAGGCTTTATAGGCTTTATAGGCTTTACAGGGTTTATAGGGTTTATAGGGTTTATAGGCTTTATAGGCTTTATAGGCTTTACAGGGTTTATAGGGTTTATAGGGTTTATAGGGTTTATAGGGTTTATAGGGTTTATAGGGTTTATCTTTATAGGGTTTATAGGGTTTATAGGGTTTATAGGGTTTATAGGCTTTATAGGCTTTATAGGCTTTATAGGCTTTATAGGGTTTATAGGGTTTATAGGGTTTATAGGGTTTATAGGGTTTATAGGGTTTATAGGCTTTATAGGCTTTATAGGCTTTATAGGCTTTATAGGCTTTATAGGCTTTACAGGGTTTATAGGGTTTATAGGGTTTATAGGGTTTATAGGCTTTATAGGCTTTATAGGCTTTATAGGGTTTATAGGGTTTATAGGGTTTATAGGCTTTATAGGCTTTATAGGGTTTATAGGCTTTATAGGCTTTATAGGCTTTATAGGGTTTATAGGGTTTATAGGGTTTATAGGGTTTATAGGGTTTATAGGGTTTATAGGGTTTATAGGGTTTATAGGGTTTATAGGGTTTATAGGGTTTGTAGGGTTTATAGGGTTTATAGGGTTTATAGGGTTTATAGGGTTTATAGGGTTTATAGGGTTTAGGGACCGCGGATTTGAGGCACACGGCATCGACCTTGGAAGCAGCGCTTCCGCAGATTCTCAGCTCAGGCACGGTGGGGGCCGCATCCGGGTTGTCATTCTGCACGCGCTTGTTTTCGAAACGTTGCGAGAGGTTGCAAAGATGCTGGCGGCGCTTACACTCCATGCATGAAAGAAGGGATGAGGGCCCAGGGGGTACCAAAGCCCCAAAGAAACACACCACTCTCGCAGAGAGGCATCAAGCTCGGGACGCTGAGTGAGCTTCACGAAGCGTACGACAAGGAGATGGGCCCGAAGTCGAAAGACAGCTGATGGGCTCCAGCCGCGGCAGTGGTTTTTTTAAAGACGTTCGGGTGTAGGGTTCGGCGATTGGCCGCACAAGAGTGGCTTTGGCTTCCATGAGTTCAGAACTATAAAGGGCAGCTGAGGGTACAGAGGGCCCTAGGCCCTGAAACCCCCCACCCGCGATGTTGATTCCCAGCTTCGGTGGAGGGAGGGGGGAGGGGTGTGGGCAAGTTGTCACCCCCATCGATTCAGCGCTCCACAAGCGGGCTGTTGCGTCATCAAAACTTCGCGCATGGCTCCCTAATCCGAGCTCCTGAGGCCAACACAAGTGACTTATATACATACATATATATATATACAGTTCAGAGCTACTCAACTGAACTACAACCCAGAAACTTAAATCTCGGTTCTTGAAGCCTGAAGACCTGATGCCCGATCCGCCCTGGGCAGCGCATCCTGGTTAGTGACTGAGCTGTCAAAGCAGGATCGGAGCTCGGGGCTGTTGTCGGGTTTGCCTCTTGCTGTCTTTGTCGTGTTCGTTTTTATTGTTGATGTTGCTGTTGCTCATCTGAGTGTCGCTTCAAGGTGCAAGATGGTCGTTCCCCCCGCTGCATTCTGCAAACCACTGTCGTCATGCTCGTTCAGTTGAACTGACTCAGTTCATGTGTTGCAGAGCAATCAACCCACGCGAAAGCGTCCTGGAAGACCCTGCGGCAAGGCCCTACATCCTTAAGGGCCAAAAGACGCCTGCCGCCATTGACCTCAAAACCCCCAAGCATTTAGCCACACGGCCAGGTAGAAGAAGAGGAGGCCAGGGAGCGACTCACAAGCTTGAATTTAGGGTTTAGGGTTTAGGAAGAGAGGAGTTTTGAGGTTCAGGGTTTCGATTTGCGCCTGGATTTGATCGTGCAGATGTCTTTGAGCTTTAACTTCAGTTCGCAAGCTCTCCAAAAATGCAATCTCCAGAATCGCCTACTGACAAAAATCCTGCAAATCCCTACGGTAGGCCCCTGGAGCCCTCGACGCCCCTAAAGTTCTTCAAGAACCTAAACCCTAAACCCTAAACCCTAAACCCTAAACCCTAAACCCTAAGCTTCCTTCAGTCCATGGGCTGCCTGGGACGGCCGCCGGCCCGGCGGCAGCACCTGGGCATCACAAGCAATCTTACGTCTGCAGTCTCCTGTGGATCTGTTCCTTTCACTTTCGTTAGGGTTTAGGGTTTAGGGTTTGGGGTTTAGGGTTTAGGGTTTAGGGTCGATACTTTAGGAAGTACTGCAGATGTTAAACGTTGTCCTCTGACGTAGGCCAAGAGGGACGTGCAGTATCGGGTTTTGCGGTCTATAGGGTATTATAGGGTAGCCCTGGTATCGTTCACGGTGGGATGTAGAGGCTTTGTATGGCGTTGGGGTTTTGTTTTCAGAAGCTCTACCGATTGCGTCCTAAACCCTAAACCCAGATAACATGTTAGATTGGCATGTTGAGGTTAGAGAAGATGGTTTTGCGACCACCCCAGAAGGCTCAACAGCTTGCAGATCCTTGCCGAGGCTGTTTCAGTTGAGCACCGCGATGCTGAAAATGAGCGAGCTGGTAGCCAAGCAGGCCACAGCGCAGTGTCCCGATGTGTTCTGATCGTGCAAAGTGCCTTGATCATGACCGGTTTTTCACTCCGAAGCTTTGACGCATAGAGCACGGGCAGAAATCTTTCCGTGGTACTTGTCACTGTTGCAACTCTTCACTTGGGCTTGGTGCCTTTTACAACGACGACATCAGCAGAAGTCAAGCCTTTTTTGACATCTTTGCTGCTACTCTTGCTAGCAGTACTTGCTGGTGTTGATGCTATTGCTTCTACTTTGCTGGCATAATTTTTGCTACTTTGAGCTGTTATTAGTTCCTAATCATGACGAAGTACTAAGTACGAGCGATGGTTGGAAAATGCGAAGTATTATGCTATCTACAAGCTGCGAACTAAGGATGACTATGACTGCACAGACTATGTCTACCATTACTACGATTACGATTGCCGTTTCAGTTTCTACTGCCGCCTCTGCTGCTGCTACTCTGATGCCTATTCCTACTCCTGCTGCAACAACTACTACTAACGACAAGCTACTGACCACTATCACTAGTACTACCAGTTACCACCGCCACAACACTACCACTTCTGCTACTACAGTTTAATTACCTCAACTTCTGGTTCTGGTCTCTGCTTGCGCTTCTACTTCTACTGCGCTGCTTCTCGGTTGTTAGACGACAGTTGCTATCGGTTACTGGAGGGTTGTGCAGGGGGTCTTGCTCCGGAAGCACATGATCTGGCATGATTCCTGCTCAGGGCGAGGCGGCTTCCCTGCGGCAGGTGGCCACAGCCCAGCGTTTGAGGGTTTAGGGTTTGGGGTTTGGGGTCTGGGGTTTATGGTTGAGGGTTTAGGGCTAGGGTGGTTGTTTAGGGCTCTCTGAACTTAGTAACTTGGGGGCTAGGGGCATATATGCCATGTATGTAACCGTGACAGGATTTGGGTTACAGTGACACAGACCATGCGTTACAGGGACAAGCCCGTTATAGGTCAACATGACAAGAGTCAGTTCTTATGGAGGACACGCACTGCAGCCACTTGGCCTTACTTCTATATAGTTGCCTCCCAGGCAGGCCAGTCCGTAAACAGACTAGGGAGCTGCCAAGGAAGCCAGTCTGTTTACCGTCCCTTCTCGGCCCCAAAGCTCCTCAGAAGGTCCTTTTGAAGGTCTCCAAGGCCTACTAATTACTAATTGCCTCCCAGCCAGGCCAGGCCGTAAACAGACGAGGGAGCTGCCAGGGAAGCTAGTCTGTTTACCGTCTCTTCTCGGCCCCAAAGCTCTTTAGAAGGTCCTTTCGAAGGTCTCCCAAGGCCAGGCCGTAAACAGACTAGGGAGCTGCCAGGGAAGCTAGTCTGTTTACCGTCCCTTCTCGGCCCCAGAAACTTCGCGAGGCTCCTTAGCAGGTCCTTTTGAAGGTCTCCAAGGTCTACTAATTGCCTCCCAGCCAGGCCAGGCCGTAAACAGACTAGGCAGCTGCCAGGGAAGCTAGTCTGTTTACCGTCCCTTCTCGGCTCAGGAAGATCCGTTTGAAGGTCTCCAAAACCAGCTCAGGCCGTAAACAGACTAGGCAGCTGCCAGGGAAGCTGGTCTGTTTACCGTCCCGTCTCGGCCCCAGAAGCTTCGAGAAACTCCTTAGAATTGAAGGTCTCCAAGGCCTACTAATTGCGTCCCAGCCAGGCCAGACCGTAAACAGACTAGAGAGCTGCCAGGGAAGCTAGTCTGTTTACCGTCCCTTCTCGGAGCTCCTTACAAGTTCCTTTTGAAGGTCTCCAAGGCCAACTAATTGCCTCTCAGCCAGCCAGGGCGTAAACAGACTAGGGAGCTGCCAGGGAAGCTAGTCTGTTTACCGTCCCTTCTCGGCCCCAAAGCTCCTTAGACGGTCCTTTTGAAGGTCTACTAATTACTAATTGCCTCCCAGCCAGGCCAGGCCGTAAACAGACTAGGCAGCCGCCAGGAAGCTAGTCTGTTTACCGTCCCTCCTCGGCCCCAGAAGCTGCGAGGAGCTCCTTAGAAGGTCCTTTTAAAGGTCGCCAAGGCCTACTAATTGCCTCCCAGGCAAGCCAGGCCGTAAACAGACCAGGGAGTTGCCAGGGAAGCTAATCTGTTTACCTGCCCGTCCCTTTTCAAGCGAACCTAGTGCAGTTGCGGCTCCTGGACTTGCGGAAAACAGGCGAGCATACTGCTTGTCATGGTAAACACTGAAACGCGGGCCGTGGTAACAAAAAAACTGGGCGTGGTTACAAGTTACACCCCCTTGACGTGGTTACATCCCGCCCTCCTTGGGGGCTGTTGTATGTTTTGTTGGGGTTCTAGGGTTCAGTATCATGGTGAGGGTTTAGGGTTTAGAATATAGATTTTTTTTGGGGGGGGTTATAGGTTTATATAGACCTTATCGGTTTTCTGGGAGCTTCGGTGTAAAGGGGGTTTAGGGCTTCGGGTTTCCCGTGTCGGCCCACCTTGAACCTTGCCGCTGAAGATCCTGCAATTGGAACCCCAAGCCACCCAAGGTGCTTGCTCTAACTTTAGGGTTCATACAGGGGGCCTCCCGTGGGGTGGACCATAACTTAGAGCAACCGCCGTAAGCCTCTCTGCAAGCATCAAGTCTTGGCCTGACTCCTGAGCCAATCCCCTTTCATGGCCTTCCCAAGGCAAAAAGTCTGGGTGATGCGCCGCTTCTTTTGTTTCTCTACACCCCCTCGCCAAGGATCAGAACCCTGACATAAACCCTGAACCCAGAATCCAAACAGTGACAGTTGTGCAGGTCCTGGCGGTTGGGTCCTCGGTTCTTCCTGTGTTCACGTTCGCTAATGGCTCCGCAGGGTGCTGCAGGAAATTGGTGTCTTAGGGTTTTCTTAAGGATTTCGGGCTCTGAATTGAAGGCCGAGGCGCAATGAGAGACGCCTGCACAGTGCCCTTGTCAACGCTTTGTCGAGAGGCAGGTCTAACGAAGCATGAAATCATTTGCGTTAAAGCCAGTGCATGACAAAGACTGCACTGCCAACTCAAGCAGCAGCTAGTGAGCTAGTGCAGCATATTATGCTACAACAGTCGCAGGGTCTGTGAAGGTCCATGACGTTGATAGGTCCTGAAGCACTAGGTCCCACAGCTGTGCCTGGAAGCATGCCAGTACTGTCCGAGCGGGCCCCAGGAAGTTCGGGCTGTGGGTTCAGGACTTCGCACTCCAATCTTCCAGGAGCTATTTAGTTTGATCTGCAGTACTTTGGGGTTTAGGGTTTAGGGTTTCTTACTTGTTGACTCAAAGAAACCTAGTAAACCGAATCGTCCTGCCTCTTTGGGCTAAAACGAGGCGTTTAAAGCCTGAAGCCTTTAGGTGGCCAGCAAAAGAACCAAAGCGGCCTCAGACAGCGGCGAAAATAGTCAACGCAACATCCCCAGACATGTTTTTTTGTTTCTACAGCGGGTAGATAAGTAAGACCGGGTGATTCCGGGCTTAG